CTTTTAAAAAGCCACTGAATTTGTCAATTTGTTCGACATAAAAGAATCTGCCTGTGAAGATGAACAGCAAATCTTTCAGTTCAGTTGGATCACTGTTAACCATGATTAGCGATTGAATCAGTATTTTTACGGAAACAGCAAATTAAAGTTAAAAAATTCAATACGTTTTAATCTCGGAAGAGCAAAGTAGAAAGCGTGGAAAAATATCGTATGGTTGAGATCATGTAATGTAAGTGTTACTTTACTCCATTCGCAGCGATTATTCTCTTGTGAGACTTAGGATTATTAATCCTTAACCCCAATCCTTAATCCGTTAATCACGATTAATTAATCACGGATCTCTGGGGTTTGATGCGTAATACTTTGATTTTTACAAAATCAGAGCGTTACAAAATTTGAACAAAATGATTTCGTTGTAATTTCTTGATAGTACTTATATATAAAATATTTCAGAAAATTATATATCTCCAAATTTGGTTTCTGAAAGGTACAAATTAATATTAATATCTAAGACGTTATTTTGGAATTTGTAAAAATACTGTGACTTTGCGAATAATGACACAATGATTTAAATTCTTGTAAGTATGTGTGCTCAGAATTTTGTTTGAAACAAAGAATGCGTTTTTTAGAACTTATAAACAGGGTTCGGAAAAACCCAAGGTTTTAATCAAGAAGTAACGACCCATGGGATTTAATGGGTTTTATTGGGTTTTATTAGGTTTTACATAAGTAATACATTGTACAACAAATTTTCACAACTATTGCAATCCAAGACCAGTTATATGAAAATCCGACTTGTCCATGTTAGAATTTGTATCCGTTTCGAAAGGGTCCTATTTAACTGATCATAGTTTAATCCTTTATGAGACCATAATTACATGTATTCCTATTTCTCGAATACTTCCTTTCATCATAATGAAATCCAAGTTGTTCAAAGGTTTTTAAAATTTAATATTTCAATGCGATCTTAAGGTGTATTATCAATTCTGGAAAAAATCGAGTACTTACGAAAAACGAAAGGACGCATTGTGAACCAGAGTATATTAAGTACTTTTTACAGATGTACTTCTTTTGATCATAATAAAGTAGTTCGCTGTCAATAAGTACTAGATTTTTCCAGAGGTGATACATACATATAATTAAGATCGCTTTGAAACATTAATTTTTAAAAAAATTTATAAATTAAAAAAAAATACTATAGTATTTTGCTTAAGTTATTCTCTGAGATAAGTATTCGGGAAAAGTATTAATTATTACAGCAAAATGTATCAAATTATGTATGATCACTTAAACATACCTTGTCTGAAATTATTTTTTTTTGAATTTTTGTATCACTTGAAGCCTGTGATGGTAAAGGATGATATGCATTCGCCGATTTATTCCTAGTCTTCAAAACTTACAATATTAATCAGCTAAACTACTTAGCTGCCGTGAAACAACTTCATCTAATGTATGATAGATGTTTTCAGCTTTTAGAATATAGTTTTAAGCTGAAACACCGTTAAAACCTATTAAAACCCAAATAAAACCCATTTAACATGGTAAAACTCAATGGGTTTTATTCATTAGCAACCCATTAAAACTCATTAAAACCCAAAAAACCCAACCCAATAAAACCCTGGGTCGGAATACCCTGCTTATAAAATTGTTTCGAATTTAACCAACCAGTTTCGTTAACACCGATCATTTAATACTGAAAACCCATGTCTTTTTTTAATTGCAATTTAATTAAATCAATATTCCACGTTACGCGTTTTAATTTTTTAATCGCCCAAAATTTCGAGCAGTTCAGAATATGAAATCTTGCACGATTCAAAAGTAGCATAATTTATGTACTGACTATCAGAACTGGCCAAATTACTTGGACGTTAAATTACAAATTATAATTACAAGTGCAACATTGCCTCAATTATAATTACTCAAGAAAACTCATTGAGTAACTACAATTACCTCGTTTAAAAAATTCGCTTGAACCACAATTACAAATTAAATAATTGAATTACAACACAAATCACTAATTACATTTGAGATAATTAATGAACATTCACCATCTACATAATATTCAAAATATTTCAGCAATTATTCACTTTTAACAGTGTAAATTTTTTGAAAATTTCCAGCTTGGAAATTTGTGGTGTATTTAATTGAATTACGTAATTTGTACTTGTGCTTAATTTTATACATAATGCTATTTAAATATCTGAAAGGATTTATTTATAAACCGAAATAATTTATTCTGCTGTCTGAAAAAAATATTGCAAATGAATGGGAAATAGGGATAAAAACGTTGATGTTAACACATAAAGTATGTGGATTCAATGAAATGCTCACTTGGAGTGAAATTCGATCAACTTAACAAAATCAATTAATTTTCTGCCAAGCTTTGGTAACAGTTGCTACACTTACTTATCATAAATTGAGTTACTAATTATTTGAAGATGTTTATATATGCATAAGAAACCATTGGGCGTCCAGCGGCGCTCTTAGAGTTTAGCGCCCTGAACAATTGCCTCGGTTGCCGGCCCAACTCGGGGCTTGCCTGCATGTTACAATATTTATCTGTCGAAAGCTTTGTGAAGCAAAATAAATCTGCCTAGACCGCTTTACAGCATTCTTTATAAGTTTTCCTACTGACTATTCAGTTTTTTAATATAAGAAAATCGTTTACGGATTTATGGATTTGTCGTTTTTATCTAGTGTACAGCCGGGCGCCTCACGGCGCCCTTGACAATTTGGCGCTCTAGGCAGTTGCCTAGGCGGCCTTACCCTTAAACGGGCCCTGGTCCCAAAGCTTGCAAAGTACGAAGAAGCATCTGTACCAATAAATGTCTTGTCGTCCCGAACCTCACAATACAAATTGAGTTTCTTCCTGCGAAAAATACTAATTGGAAAGGGAGCTATAAATTATTTACTTCTAACCTCATGGCTTGAAATCACTGTAAAGTATCATATGTTCCACGTGTCAACTGAACTTGACCGGAATGATTTTACCTGGAGTAGGAAGGTTAGAAAACGGTTTTATCTGTTTGGCGACATTATGCTGATAATTATTATCACAACTAAGCAGAGGCAAGAATTTAATGACTTCGTCCCTTTTGTGTTACCGGCCCTGTACAATACTTATGTTGTTATGGTATCATACCTCGAGAAGGATAAAAGATCGATGGAGATTTGTGGGATGCCACAAAATAGCTTTGCACTGACAAGTTGGGCAGCTTGCCGTCGAATCATTGATTGGGACAAGCGGCTGGACATCGTATCCAGATGGAATAATCCATCGGTGTTCGCGACACTGCAAAGCTTCGAAGATATGAATTTCAACAAATCTCTACCCAGTACGATAATAAATCCCTTCGATCGTAAAGAAAACTACAACATGGATCGTTGGATCGCTTTCATATTTTCAATAATAAACATTACAGCAAAACATAGGTATGCATCACATTATATTATAGAATCCCCCCACTTGGAACTCGGTTATAAGCTTGGCGATGAAGATTTTATTAACAGCGAAACAGCTGGCGCGGTAGACAATATAAAGCCGTTTATTCCAGTGATTATGAGAGCTACTGGATTTCAGTATTTAGCATGCTACCGGCAGCGCTACAAAACATTTGCAATTTATATTTCTCCCTTTAAATCGGAACTATGGTTGACATTGCTGATCACTTTGGTACTTCTGATTAGTTTATCCTTGATGTATAAATACTTTACTTACATCTCCTTTTGTGCGTGGATCTTCGTATTGGCAACTTTGTTCGAGGAGACGTGTCCAGTCTCCAAACAAATTGAGAGCACTTCACATTTCCGCTTAACTTTTGGATCTTGGTGTTTAATGTCTGTTATTCTCACAAACTGTTATAGTGGATTAATGATTTCCGAACTTAATGCTCCCCTTCCATCGTTTCAACCTAGAACTTTCAGTGATCTCATTTGCAGCAAATTATCAGTAAATCAAACAAACACTATTCCAAATATGTTCGACGCTGTAGAGAATTCTACTCCTACAGATATCCTGAATATGTTTATGCAAATCGGCAACTATTTAACATTGTTAACGCATCCTGTGGTGAACCAAAGAAATAATCCTTATAGACGTAACGAGTGTTTTGGCCTATATTCTATTCCAGCAAAGAAGCGATTTGTAAGGCCGAGTGATGCTCATCCAGAATTTTTAGGGTATCTAATTGATGAAATTTTTTTGTCTGCCAATATAAAGTGGTTGAGAAACCCATTTTTTGATAAACAGCTTAACCTCATGGTAAAATTATTTTGGCCAATTCATTCTCATCACCCGAGAAAATTTAATTTTACTTGGAGTAACTTTAATATGACGCAATTGCGGCAAAGCATAGAAACAGAACTGGTGGAATGTGGAAAAACAGTTTTCATAGCTCGTTCTGAAGACCTCCAAACAGAATACAATTTCCTCTCGAGTAAATACCCATGGCACAAATTTTACAGGGGGAAAGAAGTTTTACACGAAACCCTCACCGGTGTGGTGTTCAGATTTACAAGGAATTCAAAACTATCATTTTATTATAAGTCTCTTGTCGAGACTGGAATTCAAGGGCGCGTAGAGCAAGAAATTGCAAGTCGAGCGAATTTGCATCGGGACCCTGTGGCCTCTGAATCTATGAAAAACTTCAAAGAAATAAAATCAGGAGATTCTATTCAATTAAACGGAGCGTTTTCAACATTCCTCATAGTTTGGAGTGCAGCAGTTGCGATTAGTTTGCCCGCATTTGTGTTTGAAGTTCGGAACAGTATTTACGTTGGAATTAAGTTTGCCGTTTGTATCGCGTGTTTTAAGTTTATTAAAGGATGTAATAGATTTCGCACAAAATGTGTTCAGAGCAAACAAAAACGAAGATATTATTAAGAATAAAAAGCTTATGCGTATTATCTATGCACATATTTATGTGGTTTCCTCAATTTAGAACATAGAATGGAACCTTTTTTAAGTTTAAGAAATACTGGTCGATTTATCTACGTAGATATTCGGTGTGTTAAAAATTTGATTTTAATCTGGTCGAAGCCGCAGACAATCATTTTATGCCTAGTCCTTGCTAGTAGATATATACAGTTTTAAAGGTTTGTCGGAATCGGTTATATCTCGGAATAAAGAAATATCTTCAACAATTGGAAATATGGTCCATCACGCTCCCGACGTTTGTATATACTCCAGGATATCCTGGAATGGTTACAAATTATTTTTTTCTGATCCACACAGATAAAAACTAAAAATCTGAAAATGAGATGGTGTAAAGTGAAATGCTCGGATTTTTTGTAGAATTTTAGAAATCGTGACATTCAAACCTCGATATTGTACCCATTGTTGAGGCAATTTGTGCAATTTTAGGAATTTATAAAAATATTTTAATTTATAGACAAATTGACGATTTTTCCCAAGCAATTGTAGCAAAATCGAATTTGGTTGGTAAAAATTATCCACTTTTTCTACCGTGATTTAAATTATTTTGAGTAATTCCAACCGTCACATTAGCTGCCTCAAGAAACTGTTTACTACAATTTCACAATTGAAAATTCCAAAAAATCCGAACTTATCACTTGACACCATTGCATTGTAAGTACTGCAATTTACTTGGCTGAGCACACCCCGCACCCCAACTTGCAATCCCGACTTGAACAGCTCCACAGACAAGAGGCCCGCCCGCGTCACCCTGTACATTTTAACGTCAACATGTTTTTTTGCGTTAAGTTAACATTGTTCAAAGGTTGGCATTGTTAACCATTCAACGATTACTAACAAGAAACGGCACTTATTCGTGAACATATGTAAATAAATTTTGTTGTCCTCGTGCGGGACGAGGAAATCAGCAATTTTAGTAAAACTAGTAAGAATTGAGAAGAAGGTCCAAAGTTTAACATGTCGTTCAATTTGGGAAATTTCAGATTTTTTGTAAGAAAAGTCTCGAATTTAATATTTGGTTTGGATGTGAGGAATCCCTTTTAACAGATTTTACAAGGAGGAGGTAAATTGCTGAAAATTAATGACGTTCCAGCAAAGACAATTGTCTCCCGGGTTAACTGGGTACTTCCGATTTTAGAACCTGTACCGGATATCCCAATGCCCGGTACCGGGTAGATTAGACAATGCCTGCCCCCCTCACCTGACAAGCATCCTTCCCTCCCTGACTATATCCGGCACACTGCATCGTATTTGTGATGGCACTTTGGCCATATGCCGCTTTGCAGTCCGCCTCGCTGACCATGGGAACTTCCACAACTTGAAGTTGAGAAGGCAAGGAACCGCCTCAGAAAGAGCACCTTTGATAATTGTAACATTACACGGATAAGTACTTACCAAACATACAGGGTGGTTTAAATGTCAGGTTACAATGGACAATTTTTCAATGGGAAAAATTAACAAATCTCCGTTATATAGTTGCCGAAATTTTGCCTGAAATTCAATATTTTAAGAATTTTGTCATCAGTGTTCCAGAAGGTTTGATAAAAATTAATAAAAATCTCAATCCCAAATCCGTAACTAATGGAAATTTAGGAATTTTTTCCATTGAAAAAATTTCCATTGTAACCTGACATTTAAACCACCCTGTATGTGCGTAGGAATTACTTGATAAGTATATATTAAAATATGGTGGTGATTTTTAAACTATTTATCAGGAAATATTTAATTAAGTCTGATAGATTTGATTTGGCCTTCAATATTAATCAAGTGAGCAGGGGTTTTTGGCGGGCAGAAATTTCATCACGCTTAAATATTTCTCAATCAGTAGTACACGTTTGAAGTCATATTTCGAAAAATAATTATGAATCATTTTTTAATTATGATTCACATTAATTAATTAAATATTACTTATTATTTTTATCGATGATATATTAATATATCTTCGACTTTTTGAATCCGCGCTATAGTTCGAAAAGTTCGAGGATTTATGAAACGTAAGGGTTTTGGCTTGAAACAGGTCAAAATTTGCCCCTCGCGTTTAAATTGGGGCATTATGGGATTAAAAATGCAGTTATGCACATATATTCTTTGTTGTGAAGAGATTCGAATTAGTCTCACGTCAAACCGAGAATGGAACCCTTTTGAGAGCTACATAGACTTAGATTCACTAATGAGTTATATCAAAAAATCACGCCAAAAATTAGGCATCACGTGACACTTATCTTTCCGTTGAATGGCGTTGAAGAAAAGTATGTCGGGTCAGAGTGCCCACGAATGCCTTGGTTTTAGAGGGAAAGAGATAAGACATCTACTACTATTTTGAAATTTTCTAAGGCGTCATTCAATGAAAAAATTAGTGCCACGTGATTCCACAGTTTTGACACTATTTTTTGACATAACTCACCTGACAATCCTGGCAGCGCTGTTTTGAAAAAAATGTCCAATTGTCAAATTTACATTGGACCAAGTTTACTTTGTTAAAAAATTAATTTTTGATTTTTCATAATGCACCAATTTCGAGGACGAGTCGCGACTTTTAACTCACTATTGTCCCTCTGGTTTCCAAAATCCTGGAAGTTAAACACTAATTCAAACATTCGTAGATATTTACACTCTAAATAAAAATGAGTAAAATTTACCCAAGGTTGGGTAAAAAAGAGGATGACACAACTAGAAGGTAAAATTTGTCCAACATTGTGCAAAATTTATCCAAAGTTGTGCAAAATTTGCCCAATGTTGGGTAAATTTTACTCATTTTTATTTAGAGTGATATGTTTCAGTTAAATTATATTTTTAAAAAAATACAAAAATACAAAAATATTTTAAAAAATAATTTTAAATAAGAAAATATTTAAAAAACAAATTTTAAAATTTCACACTTTTGATTCAAAAGTGTGAAAATTTAAAAGTTACCACCCTTTAAGTTAGTTAGTACCCCAGCCGGTCACGTTCCGACCGCTGGTCTGGAACCGGGCTTGGCGAGATTGATGTACTGGATCTCGCGACCCAAACTGAAGCTGGAACTTATGTAGCTGGAAACGAACAATTACAAGTCAATTTGAGTAATTTTATAAAGTCGTGGGTCCGATTTTTGTTTCGTTCTTTTTATGGGGGGAGGGGGAAGGGTACAAAATCTGGAAAAATTCTCACGGCTAGTAAATAGATCAAAATTTCCTACAAGAAATGATGGGAAATTCAAAGAAATGTTCGAAAGTTTCCGGCAACTTTTAAAAATACATATTCGCAAAGGTTTCTGACGTAACTTTTTCTCTCGATTTTTTCCCCCCGTAATTTGCACGTTTGCCCAAAGAAATTGAACACGTGATTAAAATTAACATATATCAATTCTGGAAACTAGTAAAAACGCCATCAAAACTGGGTATCAAAGTGCCCGTAGTAGATCTCAAAATGTTCAGAAATTCGTTTTGATGTCGAGTATTGAAGTCAAATTTCGAAAATATTGATTATCAAAACCAAGAATTGTGCAGTGGTGTGTGTGTGTGTGTGTGTGTGTTACCAGTTGAACTTGGCGCTTGATTACACACGTGTCTCACATTGTCCAAGATAACGTCACCTAGCGGCAGTTTGGACACTATGTTGCATTTTTCGTTTCTAGAGGGCGTTTTTCGCTAAAGTGTCAAAACGTTGACGAACACGAGAACAACGAAACACATTCTTTAGATCCGCTGAGACTTGATACATGAACGGCCTCATCCCCCTAGAGTTGACATTTTACCTGACATGCGCACACCCTTTAAAGTTGACACTTTACCTGTGGCCTGCGTACAACCACTAAAGTTGACATTTGACCTGTGACCTGGGCACACCCACTAGACTTGATATTTAATCTGTGACCTGGGCACACCCACTATACTTGACACTTGACCTGTGACCTGGGCACACCCACTATACTTCACATTTGATCTGTAACCTGGGCACACCCACTATACTTCACACTTGACCTGTGACCTGGGCACACCCACTATACTTGACACTTGACCTGTGACCTGGGCACACCCACTTTACTTCAAATTTGACCTGTGACCTGGGCACACCCACTATACTTCACATTTGACCTGTGACCTGGGCACACCCACTATACTTGACACTTGACCTGTGACCTTAGCACACCCACTATACTTGACCTGTGACCTCTGTGCCACAGGGTATATTTGACACCTGACCTGTGCCTTACTAACTTTAATTACCTACCAGCGCCACCTATCGGATGTTAGCTGTTTTTCAGCGCTAGAGGGCGGGCTTTTGCTTCAAGTGCCAAAACGTTTTTGAAACGTTAGAACGATGGCATACTTTAGAATCGTGACCGAACGTTTTTCGTGGTCACACCCTTTGGAGTCGTGACTGAATGTTTTTCAAGGTCAACCCATAGAGTCGTGACTGAACGTTTTTGCTCTTCGTGGTCACACCTATAGAGTCGTAACTGAGCGTTTTTTGTGGTCACACCCTTTCGAGTCGTGACTGAACGTTTTTCATTGTTACACCTTTCGGAGTCGTGACTGAACGTTTTCCGTGGTCACACCTTTTAAAGTCGTGGTCGTGCATGAACGTTTTTCGTGGTCACACCCTTTAGACTCGTGACTGAACGTTTTTCTTGGTCACACCCTTTAAGGTCCTGACTGAACGTTTTTCGTGGTCACACCCTTTAGAGTCCTTACAGAACGTTATTCGTGGTGACACCCTTTAGGGTCGTGACTGGACGTTTTTCTTGGTCACACCGTTTAGAGTCGTGACCGAACGTTTTTCGTGGCCACACCCTTTAGAGTCCTTACTGAACATTTTTCGTGGTCACACCGTTTAAAGTCGCGGTCGTGACCGAACGTTTTTCGTGGTTACACAAGTTTGAATCCGGACGTTACGAACTCTATTATTAAAAATCGTGATATACAACGTGACAATCAAGTCCACGTTCCTTTGCTTTGTGTGAATGTAAATGTGTAACAGTTATTCAGCAGACATTTGTATCGCTGAACTAAATAAAATCGTTTTAAGAGACTAGTTTTATATATAGACTAGACTATATACAGACTAGTTCTGGGCTTAAGAGACTAGTTTAATGAAAAAAGGATAAATCCTGGGACCATTAAACGTTTCCAATTTTGGCGGCTATAATCTTGTTTTTCCGGTGGGTCCCACTTTTCCCCACCTATGGTGATATAAATACTTTTGAACGGTCGCTAAATGCGTAACCCACTTACCAGCAGGACGGCATCGTCGTGATCATTGTTCCTCGGATAGTAACTCGGATCCTGGCAAATCCTCTGAACCTTGATGACTTGGCCACCTCTTCCACGAAACGAGGACCCCGCCCGCACCGACAGACTGCTCGGGGAAGCTTGGTTGGTGAGAGAACTGGCGAGAGACCGCCAAAAGTAATAAGTTTGAGTACATATTTATGTAAAAACCACGTGTTCAAAATTACGCCCGGTCAACATGGCACAACCTCATTTACCGTTTTGTTTTTAAATAATCACCAAATTTTTCAAAGTTGGGCTGCCCAGCTATGTATAAATATAGTACCGTAAATACTCTATTTATAGCCGGGGATAAAATCCAAAACTGAGGGTCACGTACCCGCCTACAATTAGAGACCAGCTATAATTAGAGATCCGGCTAAATTTTGTTATGACCAAAATTTTCACTACAAGTCTCCATCTTTAAACTAGGTTTACCAGTTTTTTTTTAAATTTCCTGTTATGATTATGTGCATTATTGACTTGAAATTAATAGGTAAAAATTAGTAGTTCAGCTTGTTCGTTGATTTGCATAATGTGCAACATTTTTCTTGTATGGGCTATGAACAGGGATACAGCGGACAAGACAGGCCATAATTAGAGACGACCCGGCTAAAATTTTGAAATCTTGATCTCTAGACCCGGCTACAATTTGGAGGCCGGCTATAATTAGAATAGGGCTATAGGGGTTTTACGGTATTTACGGTATGTAAAGAGATTGTGCCATGTTACATCTTGTGCCATGTAGCGTTCTTTTTTCTTACGCCACGGTCAGAACGTGTCTGTCCGATATGAGGGACCCTCCACAAACGTGAGACCCATACGTTTGAACGGAAACTTGGTATGGAAACTCTCCTATCGTGGCTGGTCGTCCGCCAACAATTCGAAAATTCTTTTCCTGTTCTTCAATTGTTAAGTTTGCCGGGTGACCTGGAAAAATTATTTAGAATCGCCCATTTTTCAACTTTGATCTCTTATATTTTAACAAATTCACATCATCGCATAAACCGCCCCAAGAAACGTTGGTTATCTGTATTGACTTGGATAACGTAATTTTAAAATTTAAAGTACACTGAACACTAAATAATTTTGAAACAAATCGTCACCCGCGGAGGTACTATATTGCTCTATTTTTGGGTAACGATTTAGGAGACGTTTTATCACCAAAAGGAGACAAGCCAAAAACTCATGTATCAAACACACGTGACGTCGTAATTAAAAAAATTGAACATTTTTATCTGACAATTAGACCTTTTACATGACAGTATTAAATTTTTTAAATGACGACGTCACGTGTGCTTTGTGCATGAGTTTTTGACTTATCTCCCCCTGGTGATAAAACGTCTCCTAAATCGTTACTCACAAATAGAGCAGTATAGTACCTCCGTCGGGTGACGATTTGTCTCCAAATTATTTGGAGTGAAGGGTAACACTTTATGACTACCATCGCATTGTATGTTCCTATGAGTTTTATGTGAGTTGAACGTGACTTTATTTTTTTTTCAAATCTTATTAAAATCATTTATGTAATAACTTTGAAATTTCAACCAAATCCGAGGGTTACACTTCACACTCACACCATAGAAAAAATAGTTTTCCGTAATACCTTACCTTCCACATTGATTAGGTTTGCGACCCAACTGATAACCATTGGGGGGAGGGGTGATAACAATTTCATGGCGAAATCTATATAATAATTTCGAAATGTCGGTCCCGTGAAATTTTCCGTGACATTCCTGCGTTCTGATTGGTTGCCGGCTTGCTGGCTCCACCAATCACAGCACGGCTATAATTATGGTTACAATTTGAGTTACAACATCTGGTACAACATTTGGTACAACTTTTGATACAATTGTAAAAACCAAGCTACCAAATCACCTACCCGGAGTATAGTGTCTTTACGTATATTTAATTGTGCTTTGCTCGTTGGAATTAAAGAAAGTGACTTGAGTGAATATACGATTATTTTATCTACTTAAACTAGATTTTATTTCCAACAAATTACTAATTGTCAACACAATTCAGAGCTCTGCACTAACACGAGTTGATTGGTGACTTACTATTGACAATTTAATCGTGGACATCAATTACAAAGAATTAACAATTCTTACTCTTGATTTCCTACCACGACGACTAAAATCCAAAATGTCTGACTTTGACAACGACTAAAACTCGACTGTGTAGAATTCTTCTACCTACTTACTCACTACGACTATAACACAGAGAGACGCGCACCTAAAAATCCCACCCTGACGTCACCATGGCAACCACCACCACGTCACGGGGCAATCTTACACGCATATTCAACAATTTACAAAAATACATAAAACAATTTCATAAATACATCATTTTACATTTAACAACAATATTTGGTACAACATTTGGTACAACAATTGGTACAACAATTTGTACAACAATTTTTACAACAATTGGTACAACAATTTGTACAACAATTGGTACAACAATTGGTACAACAATTGATACAACAATTGTACAACAATCGGTACAACAATTGTACAACAATCGATACAACAATTGGTACAACAATTGGTACAACAATTGTACAACAATTGGTAGAAGGTACGGTACAAGTTTGGGTACATCTTCAGTTACAATTTCGAAATAGTTAAAACGTTAAACACAATCCTTAGCAACGTTAAAAAAATTCTTTAGCAACGCTAAAAAAATTCCTTACCAACGTTAAAAACATTCCTTGGCAACGTTAAAAAAACTCCTTAGCAAGGTTAAGAAAATTCCTTAGCAACGATAAAAAAATTCCTTAGCAACCTTAAAAAAATTCCTTAGCAAAGTTAAAAAAATCCTTAGCAACGTTAAAAAAATTCCTTAGCAGGCCGGCAACCAATCAGGATGCAGGAGTGTCGTAGAATAGTGAACGGGACTTTTTGTAGGTTTAATATATTTAGATGTATGTTTCCTCTGGAATTATAATTTCGATACAGATTAATACATCACATTATATAATACTTTCATCTAATGATTTATGTTTGTTGGCTTAAAACTTTAATTGTGGACCGTCTTTAAGACGGGCTTATAGGCTAGTTAGTACATAACTAGTAGAACTTCGCAGGGTTCTTTTAATTATCTTTCCAAATACTTAATTAAGTGACTTTCACAATGGTCAAGTAACGATTAGTTTGTGCAGCAGAGTGGAACAAATAGCTACGAAAGTGGTTGTATGTATATAACTTGGTTTAATTCCCATTGGAACGGTAGGCACAGATTTATTGAAATGGTTTCAGCATACAGACTCTGGTGGAGAGGCCCTCTACACGCCCCCTTCATATCTTGATGCGTTTTGCTCCAAGCGAACGTAAGATAAGGCTAGAAGGGTTTGATGTCATAAATTTCTGAAATTTTAGGAAATTCTATGTATGTAAAGATGTACAGCTAATGAATTATTTGAAAAAAATCACAATATCAAAAAAGTTGGGATATCTTCTACATATTATCACACGAGTATATGGGATCACAAAAATGTAAATTTTAGCGGATATTTGAGTTTTGTAATTTTCGTGGTTTTCACACGTTTAAGGGGGTGTGGCCACGGCATCAAACAACTTCAGAGTTATCATACATTCGCACTGGTCTACCAAATATGCAAAAGCCATCAAGATCTGAAAGGGACATGTGGAGGATCTCTCCTTCTCAGGTGAAACAATGAGCAATTAAACGTGATAAATTTATGCGTAACAGGTGCAACATGACGAAAGGTACAGAATGAAATTGAACAGACCTTTACACGAATCATTTGTGGAATAGGTAAGCTATGGAAGAATACTTGTGAATGAATAAATGGGACAAATCTTGCTTCCATTTAGGTAGACTTATTATACATATTTATTCGTTACAAGATGTACGCACTGGTGAATAAAATTGGCAAAGTAGAGATTGAGTTTAAGTACACTTTTTCCTTTAATATGGTCGTACATGCAGGCATAAATATTGGTTGTCTATGGAGTACATGGCTAGATTTTTAAATTTCTAGTATCATTTTCAAGCTACGGCTGAAAATTGTTGTCCTTTTGGAATAATGGCACATGAACTTACAAGGGACACTCACGACCTGTCGTTTAAGTCCAGGGTACCCACTATGTTTTTTAAAATCTGCCAGGACCCTAGAGGAAGGATCCATTCATATTTCCGTGTAAAAGTCATATTTGGCACCATGGTGTGGCGCCAAACTTAAAATTTTGCATCTTCGACCAATTTCAAACCGCCATGGCTTTTGCAGTTTATCTCGGATCAAAGTTTTATGCTTAAACTGATCACAAAAGTCGAAATTTTTGAAAAAAATACAAAATTTCTAATTTTTGAAATATTTTTAGCATTTTTTCGACTAACCCCCATTTCTAAGAAAATTACGAAATTTTGCGAAAAGTTAAAAGCGATAATTTTGGAAACAATTTCAAGGGATAAGAAAGTTGAACTACTTGTCATGATTTTGCTAAAAATTTAGAAAATCCGTCCAGGATTTCAAAAGTTATGGCGGTTTCAAAAATAATAACACTCAAATTTTGCGAATTTGGCGCCACGGCACGACGCCAAATATGAGGTTTACATGGAAATATGAATGAATCCTTCATCTGGGGTCCTAGTAGATTCTGAAAAACATAGTGGGTATCCTGGACTCAAACGACACGTCGTGAGTGTTCCTTGTTAAACAGAAATGAGCTATCGTATGACCTTAAAAGATTTTTCGAACGACCACGGAATTATTTCGTGAAGAACAGGTTCAAGGAGCAAAATTATTACCGCCGCGAAAAATTGTAACCATGAATTTTGCAAATACCCACTATTATGAACGGATACCCTTTTCATGGGATATAAGCGTGTACATATCACATAAATCATTTTGTGTAAGGGGAATTTTATATGAAGCCGACACGTGATATTTTTGATTCAAAGTTTGACCATTTTAGAAAATTCATGTCTTCCAGTTTACTAATATGCCAATTTATTCGCTAAAATATTAATATTCCATTAAAGAAATATAAGCATATGCATCCAGTGAATATTTATGGACCTCAGTTTTGAATGAAGTACGGAATCTCTAATAGGTAAGTTAAAAAGTGGTGACCGCAGTTGGATACCAACCCGTGACCCCCTGTTTTCATGTCACGTGCTCCGACCACTGAGCTATACGGATATAAGGCTACCTTTACCGATTTTTTATTTTAATTTCTGCATTATTTCATAAATGGGTAATTGTTAGAAATTTGCTCCTTGTTACATAAATTGTGTTGTCAAGCTTTCATACATATTTTCCTGAGCTTTAGTAATTTCATGTTTTACTTATAAAGTTGAAATGTATACTATGAAACACAACAACGTGATAAAAAGGAGGATTCCAATAATTGCGATGGTTAAATATTTCCCGAAGGAGTTTTCCGTTGAGTTATCTTCTATCTCATCTTTGTAATTCTGCAGGTTAAGACCCTGATTAGAAAAGATTTAGGAATTATGAATCTAACCCATAGTTTTTGATTTCTTGGAAATTTTCAGTATTTCTTGCACTGCATTGCAAACAAGTGCAGGAAATATGAGGAAGGTGGGAGAAGTGTAAAAAAAACATGGGTCACTGAATTTTACTGACAATGGAACCTTTTTCAAGCTAGGCTAGCGAGTTATCTTACGCAAAAAATTAGGATTTGGAGCGGTTCTGGAGCTATAATCGAGCTGTGCGACAAACCTAGGCTTTGGACTTCAACAAAAAAGCTATTATTGTTTCAATTTTTTAAATTTCCAGGAAATATCCAGTTATTTTTGTGAAAAATATCAAATCATTTCTGAGCCCTGGGCGATCCGCTAGGTTCGATTACAGCTCGTTCACAGCTCTATTGCAAATCACAAGGCAAGGTTAACACATCGGCCGTAGTTAGCGGCTTATGGAGGAAAAATGCGAGAGAATATGTAAACAAAATTTGAAATTTTCGCCAAAGGGAAAAAGACTTAAGTTCCACAGGACGAGAATTTTGTGACATGATTTTTTGCATAAATCGCAAGGTGATACTGGAGTAGCTTGAATAAAGTTTCTGTTGTTAATGATAAGGACTTTCTGCCAAACTGGACTTAATAAATTAGGTTTTTACCCAAACCATAAGCGTCGCGAAGAGCAAGGTTCTCTCGGAACTGGACACTTTGTTGGAGTTCAAAGGGGGCAGAACGATCTTGAGTTGTTTGTATGTCTTAATCCCGCAGTATGTCGCGGATCGAGTTACTTTTCCAGTTGCCAAAGTCTGTCCGTCAACATTTCGAATCTACGTATGTATGGAAGTACACTCTTAGAAACCTGGTATTGAAAAAAACCTAACGGTATTGATACGTGACTCTACCGCCTTGGTATTAAACGGTTATACCATATTGGTATAGAACCGGTATTGAAATTATACCTCATGGTAGTAATTTTAATACTAATTGGTATTAAATTTTTTACCACGTAGTATTAATTCAATACCGGATCAATACCACGCGGTAGAGTCACGTATCAATACCAACGGTTATTGATTTTTTTAAGAGTGTACAAATGTATTTTCAACAAAAAATAGAAAGATTGGCATCCAAGAACTTAAAGGCATCAATAAAATCCAATAAGATATCGGTGTGGTTAGAAAAATTCATTATTAAATGGTACCAAGCGGTAATCATATAAATATGTTCTTCTCTAGCAAAGTGGTACTGTTTGTGTTGGTATTAGCGTTTAGGAATTATGGAATCAAAGTCAGAAAACCCGATTTTCTAAAAACGGGTCTTATATTTAACCGAAAACCGGTTTTGTACAGAACCTTATTTGCAGCTGATATGTAATCTTCATTTAATTTTAATTTTGTATTAAATTTTTTTAAACCAAAAAGTTTTTAAACTTCAATCGATTTCGTAAAATTTTTCAAAATTCAACTAATGGAAAGCAGGTTTTACACAAATTTGACAAATCAGAATATCCGAAAAACCGGTTTTAAGTACTGCGAGTTTTACCGTATTGGTGTATCAAATCCTTATGGTCCGGTAGTATTTTAATATCATGCGGCGTAAAATTTAATATCAAGCAATCTAGAGTTGCCTGCCTGATTATACCAGATTTCTAACAAACAGGGTAGAGATATAAATCGCGTACCATAATTCCCGCCCCACCCTCTGTATTTCTGCACGTGGTAAATCTCGGCGAGTTCTTGGGATCCGCATGCAGACCGATTTTTACCCCAGCGGTTACACCTACACCTTCTCCAGGAAGAATCCATCCGACTCGTGAGCCGGAATCCGGGTCAAACAAATCAATGTGTTCCCCGCGCTAAAAACAGTGCACGTAATTACTCTTACGCAATGTAGATAATTACTTAATTACTTGGCTTTAATTGAATCTCTTAACGTAAAATTTAAACGCTTATTTTGACAAAATTTTGACTTTTTTTCGGGCCTCATGAAGAAGACTAATTTCGTCATTAATTAATTTTCGTGTTAATTTATATATTTTCTAATACTTTGCAACAGAGGTCGACGCCGACAAATTTTCGGCGCCAGTTTTTGGTAATTTTTCGGTGGCGTCGGCGGCGCGGCGCGGCGTCGCAATGTTGAAGCTATAGGAAATCAAATTTTTCGGCGGCGGCGGCGCGTAAAATAGTACCGGCGTTGGCGGCGTCGGCGGCATATGATCGGCGGCGTCGACCTCTGCTTTGCAATTTCCCGGGTAAGATGAGATTTTTCTTATGAGAAAAATCTTAATAATAGCCTAATAACTTCGAAAGCCTATAAATTAGATTGTTTTTACGTATGTAATAAGATCGTTATGTTAAAAAAACCCAAGAAGATGAACATGTTTCAAAATTAATATTAAAATTAAAAACCTCCATAAAAGGGAACCTGAAGAAACTTACAGAATTTTTACGTAATAAAATCGTTTTGTAAAGCAACCCCGGAATATAAACATGTTTCATTTTTTGCCAATTTTTTGTTTTTGAGACGTGGAAAATTAAGACGCAAAGTTTAAAATTAAAAATCTGAATAATATGGAACTTACAGAATTTGGATAGTCGAAAGTACATCGTTCCACAAATCGTGTATCGGGATAAATTCTGTCTTGAATTAAATTTCCGATCGTCATCTTTCTTCCTTTGGAACTCGAACAGCAGAAGAACGTGTTGCCAACCTCCGCCCGGACTTCCAGAGTCGTACCAACATTTGGTCGGAGGTAGGCTCCGACCTCATCAACTACTCCGACTAGCGGGGTAATACTCATTACCGCGTTGGTGAAGGACCAGTCTGTCAATTAATTAGGCAAATTTAGTTATTATCTACCTAATTTTGCTTAATATTCGGCTCCCTCAAGATAACGTCGTATGAATTTATCCCCGAAAACTAAGAAGGGGAGCTTCATCAGTGAGAAAAAAAAATCGATGTGCGTTTTATTTTGCTTCGCCAAGCTTTCGACAAATATGTAATATTGCCTTCTTAAAGTTTAGTGCAGATAAGGCAAATATTTTACAATAATCACTCCATAATTTTTCAAGCTCAAAATATTACATTAATTCTCTGGGTAATTTATGGATTTTTGATAAATGGTAAGATTGTTGGTGTCCAAATGGAACTTATTTTCATTCCATTATTGGTGTTCATTATTAAGAGGTGAAAGCCCTTTATAAGATCGTTATGTCTGTCTGTCCGTCCGTCTGTTGGTCCGATAACTTTTGAACGTAAGGACATAGAGACTTGAAATTTTGAATGTAAACTCATACCCTTAAGACACAGGGCAAGTTCGAAGATGGATACCGTATGTCACACCCGTCAAGGTAAAAATGTCACGAAATGTCATTTAAAGGTCAAATCTGATACATATCTCAATTTGCACTGAAAATTAACCCGAATTAAATGGAGACCTCCATTTAGACCTCAAAGGTCACGAAAGGTCACTTGAATCTCATCCCTTGTTAAATTTGATACGTATTTCACAATTGTTAAGAACACGTCAGACATGTCAATTTTGACAGATTTAGCACCGACAAACAAAGTGTGGTGTTCAGTTCGACGTACTACCCACTACTTTCACCCCTTGGTTACATTCGTTGTAACGGTTTATTATCATTACTCACCGGGATAAGTGACGATCATTTGTTGTCCGACTTCATCCCGGCGCAAGGGGGCAATTACCACGTCGTAGGAATCCTCACCGTCCTGGTCAAACTGTAAAATTGTAGAGTCTCGAGGATTTGGTGGTTCATTTAGCACGAGAATAGCCGTGTCTTCCATTTCTTTAAGGGTACAAATAAATTGTGACAAACAATATTGTTATAAGATGTAAATGTAAGCTTAATATTTAAAAAATGGACGAATAACTGTTGGAAAAGAGTGAATAAATTTATTTATGTTAATTGAGGTTATAAATTACATTTGCTAATATAAAAGCATAATAAATATGTGGGCTCAATTATACTTTCAGGTGTGGAGGATTCGAGGATAATTTGATATCTAATCTTTGTTATGCGTCAGTGGTATTGATGGATCTTTGTTCACCTTGAATTACAATAGTTTGAACGAAATTAACCTTGTGTATACTTCAAAATAGTGTTACCCATTTGAAAAATATATACATGCAGTCTGATTTTAGGAGAGCGTACAAAATGGAGAGTAAACTGCATTTTTTTGCGATGTTGATACCACTAAATTCTCTGGATTTGGTAAAGTTAACTATATACAAAATTTATGTAGAGTGCATTTACTTTTCAAAAGGGTAACTTTATTTTTTAGAGTGCATGCAAAGACCCGTGCATGAGTTGTCCGAACAAATAACCGTGAGGATAAGGTGACAATGTCCTTTAATCCCCACTTCACAGAGGCATGCTTGTGCCCACTGATCAGCGATATTAATAGTCTGAAAAAAAAATCTGAAAACAATCTGAAAAAAATCTGAAAATCAGGAAACCTCCTGGAAAACAATTTACATTATTTTCTAAAAACGTAGTAACCTCTCAGAAAAATGTCCAAGGAATTAAGACTATAAATATTGACAGTAGTATGTATCCAACACCAGGCCGCCTGCCCTTCTAAAATCGATGGCATCCTTTATGGGTGGCCCCTTTAACTGTCATCGCTTGGGATAAATATTCCTGCCAGCCACTTGATATCCTTCGTTGCTTATCATTGTGAGTATCATTGGCCAAGGATCTGGAGGTAGAGCTTGGTGGTGGTAACGTTGCGAGATAGACGAGAGAATATGCTTGATAACATGGCAAGGTATGAATAGCCAATACTTATTTTGGGGGAATTTAAACAACGTTCCGCCGTCTCTGAATATTGCGCAACTCATATCTGACTGATTACATATTTTTAGCCTGTACATAACGCGAGGAAAGAGTGAAGTTTGCGTAGCCTAAATTATTTAATAATAAATCGTTAAATATTTATTATCTGCCACATCCCATATTTGTTGGACATAGATTTTTAACTTGTGGCTGAAATGAGGCAGATTCTGTTATTCGGATTGCTTGTCTTCGCTTATGTTAAAGGTGAGAAGATCATTTTATTTGAAAATTATCATAGAAAAATGTAAGGGGTTTCTGGCATAATGTGGACAGCGAGGTAATGCAAAGGACAAAATAAGGACAGAACGTTTTGCACGAAAAACATGGACAAGGGTAAAATACTTATGTATGAACGTCGACATAATGTGGAAAATGTATTAAAAATGTGAGGAATGCAATTTATTTAAAACAAAATGTACATCATTCATTTTTGTCCTTACTTTAAAAGTATGCAGATTGTGCTTTTCCATATTTTGGACGTGTATTTTGACGTCGATTCCTTGTTTTGTCCACATTATGCCAAAAATTCAGGTTTTGGAAAAAATTTGTGCGACTTTGATGCACAATTTTGCTGTTATTTCAATTTACATATACGAAAAATTATTTTTTCTCGAGCAGGAGAATGTCCCGCGATGTATCAGCGCTTCCAGTGGGGTGCGGCGCCCCCTCCGCAAACCATCCCGATGCCGCCAACCGTTCCGAACGTAGTAATTCACCACTCCGCGACGCGGACTTGCACCTCCGTTTCAGACTGTTTCGCGCTGATTAAATCCTTTCAAACGAACCATATGACGGAGCGGGGTTGGGATGATATTGCCTACTCGTGAGTACATATAATATAATATTTGATCTCTTTAAAATTTATCTGTTTACATATTTGCGAAAAATTCGCTTCATTGCGTATTTGCTATTTGACAAAAACCGAAAAATACTCACCAAGTCGGCATAAAGAAATTTTAATTAAATTGTCTGGACAATTTGAATTACAAAAATACAAATTTTTAATATGGCTGTGTTTGTGGTCAATCTCTTTAAGCCAAAAATTGATTTTGACGTCTTGTAATTATTTACAAGATGGATGTATAAATATAGATATACTAGCGTATAAGCCCGTCTCCCGCCGGGCGACGGGCTTATTTGATTTTCGTGAAAATTAAGTGGCATTGCTAATAATGGCACCGATTTTTTTTATTGTGTCTATATTATTTGCCGGAAATGTCTGTTGGCAAGCTAAGTGAAACTTTGACTACTTTCACTTCCGTCACGGAAAATTACTTTTACTTCCGTTGTAGACAAACATTTCCAGCTTATAATATACATAGATGTATTTTTTGAAGAAATATCTAAAAGATTTCTGTATTTTACAAACATGCTAAGATTTCTTATTGGTGGGGATGGAAATTTGTACGAGGGGCGTGGCTGGGGGAGACAAGTGCAAGGGACGCAACCACCCGAGTGGAACTATTTGGGGTACACGTTCTGTCTGATTGGCACCTTTGAAGGTGGCTTATTACTTAATTAGTATTTAAGTAATTAATATAATTTTACCCAGGTTTACATCGACCTATTTACTTAATTATTTTCCCGTGTTCATTTTAAGATAATAATTACCTCATAAATAGTGGCTTTAACAAAATTTTGCTCCAAATGTATGCAGACGAGCTGCCCACCGCGGAACAACTCGAGCGATTAAATAACTTGATTAACTGCGCCTGGGGGGATGGTCACGTTCCTGAAAATTACACGTTGCGCGGCCATCGCGACGTTTATGCCGGCACGGCATGTCCAGGTCAAGCTTTTTACGACCAGATTCAAACCTGGCCGCATTACAATGCCTCCTTAGCTACGTCAAACTAAGAAATGTTTTTGTCGAGTCACGTAATAAATAGCAATGCTAAAATTTCGAAACAATTGAGCTTGGAACGAACCCTTTTCATTGACATGTTTATATTTATGAGAACTTTATTTTGAAATATTTGTGCGTATTTTGGTCAATTATGTTTGTGTTTCGGACGCATACATAGTTATTCAAGGCATGTAGAAGTCATGACTTGTTAAAGAATCTCGACTAAAAATTTGGATGGTTTTCGCGTCGAAATTTGTACCCCAATTTTCTGCACAAAACCTGTATTCAAAAAACCACGTGGCACAACACGTTACTATTTGTAACGTAATTATAATTAAGACATGCTTTCTCCACGTGCGTGATGAATTTCACCAATGTTTGGCCCAAGATTGGATGCATATGTAGATATTTACTAGTGAAAATTAATTTACATACATACGTAGGTGTTTTATTATTGATTTTCAAAAGGTATGTTCCGCACTGTTTCTGACCAAAATTTTGATGAAATAACAAACTTTAGATACATCTAGGATGCTGTGATTTTTTTCAGCCCTTTAGGTTAACATTAACACTAGCAATAAATCAGCAAACTTTACCTCGACGGAAAAAATGTCACATTTGCAAATTAAACATCGTAGTGTGATTTAAATTTTATTGCTGGAGGGGAAATATGTGTCGCAGATTTATGATCGAATGCTTAAAGTTTACGATGGAAACTGCTCAACACAAAGCACAAATACAATTGGGTCGATAAGTTCAAATAAAGGCGAGAAGATGTCCCAAACAAAAAAGTCGCCAGGATACCCAAAATCGGTTTCCACCGCAGAAAACCTCCAGAAACTTAAAGACCCAATTATTAGAGATCCACGATTGAAACTGTCCTATTTAGCAGATGAGATGGGTGTTCCAAAACCAATAATTTGTTCCATGTTAACTGAAGACTTAGGTATGAAAATGGATTCCTTCTGTTGGGTATCAAAATTGCTTTTGGCATCTCAAAAACAAGATCGAGTTGCTTTTGCAATGCAAATTTTGAGCTTTTAAATGAATACTGGAACCTGTATCATATTTTAGTAGTTGAATAAGATACTTGGGTTTACTATTATGACCCGACGACCACACAATAATTCATGCATTGGAAGCACGGGGGATTTCCACCACACATAAAAGGAAAAGTGCAAAAATCTGCCAAAAAATTGATGATCATCAGTTTGAAGGATACCGAAGGTCTCCTCCTTATAAAATTTATTGCTAGAATTACTACGATAAATGGGGTCGCGTATGCAGGAACCCAAAAGGAGCTGCGTTCTGCGGTTGAAAAGAAACGCGGGGTCAAAATAAAGAGTTGGCCTTTTTTTAGACGACAACGCGCCACCAAATACCTCACTGTTTTAGAGAGCTGATGCAGACGAAAATCGCTTTACCTGCACAGACCACCCCCCGTGCAGTCCAGACAGGACCCTTAGTGATTATTATCCGTTTCAAACGTTGAAGAAAAACATCAGGGGGAAACGATTTTAGGATGATAATGGAATCAAGTCGTAAATTTTTGCATATTTTCGAGGTAAATTTCGATGATTTGTTGCGGGTGTTTCTTTTAACCGATTGAGCTGAAGAAAATCACGACTTCCAAAATGTTTTTGAAGTTTGTTATTTCATCAAAATTTTGGTCAGAAACAGTGCGGAACATACCTTTTGAAAATCAATAATAGAACACCCACGTATACTGAGCAATATCACTCACAAAACAGCAAATCCATAACAGTCGTTGTGCACGGTTCCATCTTTTACGGACCTATATTAGTTTTCCATGTAAGATCCCACATTTCACGATGAGAAGAGAAATCATGCCCTAAACTCATGAACCAAACTGCACGCGTAACGACTTGCTATGGAAATGTACCCTGCCTGTGTCGATCAGACAAAGGAAGGGGGAAAGATTACGCACTATTGCGAGGATCACACAGAACTATGGGTATGTAGGTACTCGGGCAAACACGCTTTTTCCGAGGAAACTTGTTTACCCTGCAGACAAGGGGAAAGTTCCCGAGACACAGGTTGGTTTCTTCAGTGGTTTTAGAAACATTGAGAATTGCACACTTGTCAAAAATTGGGAGAAATAGATCTTTCTTCTCGACATCTTTACATTCCATATGTTTCCCACATTTACTCTCATGAGTTTTAAGTGAAGATTACATAATTTTAAAAAATTGAAGACAACTAACTACAAAAAATTGAATAGTTGTCAAAAACCTAAAAGAATAGTTTATTTTTTCCATATATTTCCCTTATTTACATATTTAACTTAAATAGTTTAGGAAACCTATAAATAAAACGAACTCATTAACACTATCGGAGGAGGATACGCTGTTTTCCTCATATTTGATCGACTTTCCGCTAGAACCACGAGTAAACTGGGATTGGACGTCGGGTCATGGTGATCGATTAGAAAATCTCGTGGAGACCGGATTTCGACACGATTTGACCCTCCATCTTCGCCCGGAAGGAGTAAGGGTATGTATGAAAGTTTACTAATTTTCTACTTAGTATTTATGTACAATTACATACAACGCGTGTAACCAAGGGGTGAAAGCAATAGCTATAATGTTGTCTTTGCCTGTAGAAAAACTGATATGCGTACGTGAATTCGACATTTGTGATAAATGGATACAATTAACATTTACTTTTACTGACCTTTCGAAACCTTTGAGGTCAAAATAGAGGTCATTATTGAAAGTATTTTATTAATTATTTATTTGTCATGCTGATTTCAGTCTGATTTTGTGAATAAATTCATGAATAATGAACGAACAATTTTTAAAGGTTTTGTGAATGAGTTCATTTCATGTTCATGAATAATAAAAGTATATTGTTTTTCATTTTTCGCGTTATGCTTAATACATGTGGTACATGGAGAAATCCATCCAATAAAGAGTTACAAATGAATAATGAATGAATATATATTTTTTTTAATAAATGAGTTAGGAGTGAACAATGTCTTTCAATTTTTTAATTATATGAATTTTAAATGAATAAATGTATATTTCTTGAACACAATTGAACAGATATAATTATGTAAGTATGTGTCAACCTGGAGTTTAATTGTCTATTTCTTTGCAGATTCCAGTCCACAGAATCTTCCTCGAGACTGGATCTCCCGTTCTGAACGACAGGATCACTCCTCTCATGGACGAATTAGTCGTGGAGAATGTGAGCAGCCATATTTTGAAGTTGCTCATCAAGGTAAAAAATATTTAAGGTTGAACTATTTACACATCGCTAAAATCACAAAACTCAACACATTCATAATCCTTTCTCGGCTTGGGTAATTTATTTAAAAACTGTGGACAATTTTTTCGCCTGTAAGTTGATTAACAGTGGTGACTTTTTTCAAAATAATTTACAATTTTAAGTTTAGTGAATAGTTTTGCAAAAATTGGGAAGAATTAAATTTGCCGTCCAAAATTTTTAAACAAATTTCACAGACGAAAACTGAAATTAAAAATTGGTTGATTTTGGGCATGGGTCATCGAGTCCTACGTTAGGAGACGCTCATAAATTATGTGACGCAAAAATCCCGATTTTCTGAATCCCCCGCCCCCCTTTAACATATATCACATAGCCCCGATATCATTAAAGAGTTGGGTTGGACCCTCGTAATCTAGCGTTACATAATTTATGAACGTCCCCTTAATACATAAATATACGCCAAAATTCTAAAATATAACTATTTTGTGTTTGCTTCAAGTACTTGTATACCGGGAGAGGTCGGACGTTGTTGAGGTGGCCGATGTACCGAAATTAATCCTGGTGGCGGCACAATTTAAAATCCGCGGTTTGTGGGAAGATTGTGCTGCCCTGTTGAAAGGAGAAAATGGATTGGAACACGTGTTGTCCTTATTTCAAAGTGGGATGGAACACGCTTTCGGAGATATTATTCAGTCCACCCTCGAATTAATTTGCAGGTAATGAAGGAAAAACACTTTTAAAAATAATGTTACCATTTTGAAAACTACACGCTTAGAAATCCAGTATTAAAATAATACCAGGCAGTATTCATGTTTGACTCTACCAACTTGGTGTTGATAAATAGTACCGTGTAGTAATAACCCGGTGTTAAAGTTTTGCAACACTGGTCTCAAATTTTTCTACGAATTTTTCTGCGGTAATAATAAGTTGTACCCTGTGGTAATGGCTTGGTAATAAAGTTTAACCATCATGGTAACAAATTTTTACTACCTGGCAAAATATTATTATCAAATTTATTACCGAGAAATCATTACCTGCGTAACTTTACCGGATTATTAAGAGTGCATAAATTATAAATTAAATAAAATATTCGAAATCCTGGGTAAAATTTACTCTAAATTTTTGCATTCTTTATTAAATTTAGAATTCAGAGGTCGTGCACTTCTGAAAAAGTATTATTTTTAAGAGTGTCCTCAACGAAATAAAAAATTTTGAAGTCAATAAGTCAAAATTTGGGTAGTATAATTTATTTTAAATAATTATGCATTTTTGTGGACAGGAATGCCAGGAAAGTTTTGAAATCTGAAGAATTCACGAATCTACGACTTGACTGCTTAATCGAAATTATTCAGCAGGATTCACTCAAAGTTGGAAATGAGATAGAGGTTTTTGAGGCCGTGTATCGGTGAGAATTTAAATATTATATCTATTAGCCTAACAATGGAGTTCTCTAGTGTATTTTGATCAAATTAGTACCAATCAATCACAAATTTATTTAGCATGATGTTTGCGACACATAAATACGATTCCCCAATGGGAACGTTTGGCGGAGGTATTTGCACCCGATGTGCTACATAAAAACGTCCCTTAAAGTCCACACTTTCCCAGCTTACCCTGCAAATTCTCCTCTTCGAATGCAAATTTCCCCTGTAAACATGCTCATTGCCAGATCTTGTATTTTATAAATTTCATACTAATTAAATTCGTGATCACTTCGAGTTAATTTGGCCAAAATCGTGGAGCATAAGCTGCGAGAATTCGACTGTAAGGGACCGTTCATGAATTATGTAGTGCAAAAATCGGGATTTTCTAGACCCCCTACCTCCCTTTAATATTTGTTACATATTTATGATTAGAGCGTTAGACCCCAGTCTCGCTTTACATTATTTATGAACGGCACCTAAGGTAAACGATAAATACATTTTGAATGGAATTTTTCTAAATTTGCAGCTGGGGTCTGGCCGAATGTGCGCGGCGCTCGTTGGATCCCAGCAACCCGGAAAATCTCCGCTTCTGTCTGGCCAAACCGTTGAATTATATTCGGTTCCCGTTAATGGATCCCGAGGAGTTTACGCTTGTCGTGTCGAGCAAGAAACTGCTCAGCCTGGAGGAGTCCGTCGAACTCTTGACCACTTTTCTCGTCCCGGCGGAACGGAGGTATATAATTTTATCCCGGAAAATAATCACACCCTTAGAAAACTGGTATTAAATTAGTACCTACTGGAGTACATAAATATGTATGTATGTATGTGCACTTTTATAAACCCGGTGTTAATCGACAGTAAACGATGTACAGAAATATGTGTCTTCACCGAATGGTATGGTGATAATGTTTTTCACCTCTTGGTGATATATCTTGCCCGCACGGGGACAAATTGTCACTGACTGGTGTTAGTTTTACCACCATTAGGCGAGGCAAATTATTACCACTACATGCACAACGTTTGGTAACGATTAACACCAGGTTTTTAAGAGTGTGCATGACTCTAAATACTAGTTGGAATTATCGTTTAGTATGTAATTTTGTGGTAATGAAAAATTTACCACTCAGGTACCAACTACTACCAATTTGGTAGGAAGCCATTAACAAATCATTACCAGTATGTAAATATGTATGGGATTTGCGTGTTAAGATTTTTAACAGTCCATAACATACTTTATTTGTACATAATCTTGCAGAAAGTTGCTCCCCGCGGGGAGATTTATTTCAAATCCACGCTTCTACATAACCGACCCCGGTAATGGGATTTTCATCGGTCGGAAATTTACTAGTAGTTCGAGACAAGTTCAAACTGTCTTCTCTCGCTCGGGAAACCCCAACGGGAGCGAAACCATCACGTAAGAAATAAAAATGAAGAGATTCTCAACGTTTAAGGGAACGCCCATATATTACGTCTTCAAAATATGTAAATTATGTGAATTTTGGTAGCGTATCTTATGCATGTTAAGGTTAACATGATTAGGAGAGAGATGGTTCAAAAATTGACTTTTTTAAATAACGTAATGAATGAACGTTCCCTAATAACTGCTCGGCTGAAGAAATGTATTTTAAAATTTTTAATGACACTTTACACCATCGCATTGTCAAATTTGCAGATTTAAGTCGACTCATGCCTTGATCCTGAAATCCATTTGTGTTCCGAAAGCATTATTCCAAACTCACGGGCCATCCTACGTGTACAGCTATACTTCTGTAAAAGCCTGCGTCGTCGCGTCTTCCAAAGGTTAGACATTCCTGTTCACATTCATTCATTTAATTGTTAATGAATAAAATATTCAAGCATTCTTTAATAAAGTCGTGAATAACTAGGGAACACTTTTTTCAAAAATTTTCTAATATGCATTGAATAGATACCTACATACAAATTTATTCATTTAATCTTCATGAGGAATGAATGTATAATTTTATTTGTTTATCATTTTTCATGGTTTGGGTATATACTTATGTGTTGAACAATTCATCTATCTAAGAAGGGGAAATGAATAAAAAATAAATAATGCCGAGACGAGCCGGTTGAAAACTTTTTCCAATTCATCGATCCGAATCTGAATTTTGAACAGAAATTTGAATTTCTTAAGAGAAAAATATTCAAACCGAACCAAATAATTGGGATTCGGTTCGAATCAATACCTTCACCGGGCTTCGGGTAACCGACTCAACTCTGAAATAATGAAAAAATATTCATGTATCTTCAGATTTGGATTTTATAGGTTTTTGAACCATAAATGAATAACTTTTTCCCAATTTTTTATGATGAATGAATTTTGAATGAAGAACTATTTTATGAACAGGTTTTGCTTCAAACGGAATCCCCTGTGATGAAAGCGACCCAAACGTTTTAGGCATTCCGCTTAATCCGCCGATCAAACTAGGCACTGAAGGAAAACTCACTCTTTCATTCTCCGGAAAATTAAGTTTCCATCAAACCACGAGCAACGCGTGCAGCTGGACCAGCCTCAGTTTGGGAGATGTTTTCCCGTCCGATGGGTTCAACAAGGTGGTCACAAACTACGGAAATTTCCTTAATGTGGCCGATTTTGAGGGGGAAATTCAGATCGAACGACCTCCCTGGCACGGTCTTCCTTTAAATTGTGGTATTATAGAAATGTTGGAGTTCGAACTAGCCTGATTTCCCGGTTCGGAAAATATTATCATAATTTAATCAGCATACTCACGGAAACTTTGCAAATGCAAATAATTTCGCAAATTCGGACGCTAAATACTTTAAACATTTCGAATAATTCATAAAAACAGGTTAAAATTTGATCTGATAGATTTGCGAAATCGTATTTTGCGAATCCATCGTGCAATATTTTTTTTAAGCGTATGGAGAAAGCTGTAAAGGGTAGACTCATGTTATTTTTTGCTCATATATCTTATTTACATACTATTAGTCAGTACAAACGTATTTATTTAACTTATCATGTTTAGTTTTCCAACATTTTTTATGTAGTTTCAATAATTACTAATATGTAAATACGTGGGTATATGTAATTCTTAACTTTTAATTATTGTCGCGACGAATGTATGTAGTTATTAATTTCTGGGAATATGTACATATATACGAAAACCAAAGCGCAATCGTGTAAATATATCAATAAATGTATGATAATAATAGTGACCAGATTTTTTACAATATTTATTAATCCGTGGTGTGAAAGCATGAAATAATTTTATTTTGTAAAGTAATATTCCGAGTGGTTGTGTATCGAAAAACGTTCCCTGGGTACATTATACTTTGGTTTTTAAAAGGAGCAATCTACCCTCGCATAGGTCACACCAACCTGGTGGGGGGATCAAATCGAGCACATGCATTATGCACGGCCCTATACTTACCTAACTCAATTTAGAGGAGGGTGAAACTAGCAAATTTGCATGAAATATCTGGGGCCTTAAAAAATTTCATATTTTAGCGAAACATCGGCCGGATCGATTGCACCCACTACCAAGCAAGTTGACAACCATCCCCCCTCATGATATCTGAAAATTTAAAGGATGGAAAATTTAAATTAAATAAATACAAAATTGGAAATTAGTCCGAGTTTAATCTCCCCTTCCACGAACACAGTTCTTGCCATTCAGTATGTTTTCCATCCTGACTCTATCCTTGGCTAATTTTCTTGCAAAATTGCCAAAAAATCTGTCTCGGAACATATTGAAAATGCGATCTTGACCACTACATGGTGCAAAGTTGCGCAAAAACCGGGACGCGGTCATACTACCGAAAGAATTGAATAAATAAATCAAAAGCCCACCTGGTCGCTTAGTGAGGAAACAGATAACCTGATCAAGCTGAGAAAATACTTTACCCTTTCTCACTTTATGCGCTAAAGCTTCATAATATATGTACATACATACGTTAGTCCTTTAATCGGACCGAGTTTAGCGCGTCAAGTGAGATTGAACGGCTGACCAATTTGATCTATTTCACGGTCAATAATTACATCCCGGTCAGAAATATTTCCAATTTGTTGAGCTATATCTGCCCTTACGTGAACCTTTAGCAAAACAGCTTTAGCAAAACAGCTCTCATCGAAACAGTTCGGAGGTTGAATTCTGTTAATTTATTATGGTGTGAGAGTAAGTATGAATTCACAGAATAAATTCGTTCTGTTAAATTACAAAAATACTCAACTTATCAGTTTTTATCAGTTCCGTAACACTCTTAAAAACAATGTTGCTCTTTTGGAAATCAACCAACTATAAATTTTGTTTACCCAATGTATACAGAATCTGGGGCAAACTTTCCTCGTTATAATGAAAATGCTCCATATTGGGGGTGGCTCAACTCTTTAAAATGTAGCTGAGACAATTGTCGTTTTGTAAGAAACCGTTTAATTCGGGGGTAAGATAAAAGTCGTCCTGAAAAATCGTAGTCATGGTACGGCAGCAAGGCAAGCAAGCGTCGTTTCTGGAGGGTCATTCATTTTCACCATTTTCTCTCCGCGGAGTAAAATTCGTTAGAATTTAAGGGATTTCTTCTATGCCAACCAAATGTTAAATTTGAACATTTTCTTCCCGAAAATTAGGATATTTCCGTATCTAACGCAATGTTAAATTTTGGATTTTTCAGTTTTTTTCGAGTTCTATTAAAACTCTTGAAATCCTACTCCCACACCATGACCACAATATAGGTATAACGTACCCCTCAATTTATGCCTTTTCTTGTTGTCAATGATATCCATTAAACGGTTAATTAATATAAAATGTAGAGTTAACTTATTTCTCAAGAGGGTGACATTATTTCTAAGAGTGCACAGAGGAATTATGCAAGATGCAGATTACCACTTCACAGAAAAATAGTGCCGTGGATGCTTAGGCAAGTAACAAGTTATTCAATTGATGGAGCACAAAATTCATTGAAATCTGGGCAATTTTATCGCATCTGTCATTCTAATCGTGCTCAATTAATTACTAAATAAACTTACAACTGGTTACAACGATTGTAATCAAAGGGTGAAAGAAGTGTTTCATAAAATGAAGATCATATTATTTTTGCCCGTTCAAAATTTTGAACACGGTCACTGACGTGTCACGGTCACAGGTCAAAATTGTTATCGTATTGAGTGTTAACATTCTTTTAAAATTGATGCCAATCTAACGTGTTTTCGACATTTGTGGTAATTTAACATTTGTTGACGTTATTGTCACCTTTAAAGTCAAAATGGAGATCACCATTTAATTCGGGGTTAAATTTCTTGTTAAATAGTTATACTTACAAACAATTCGGCCTTTAAATGACATTCTGTGACTTTTTGACTTTAAAGGGTGTGACATACAGTGCCCATCATCAAACTCGTGCCGTCCTTCGGCGTTAGGAGTTTAGGTTCAAAATTTCCAGTCTTGATGCATTTTCATTCAAAAGTTATCGGACCAACGGACAGATGGACGGACATAACGATCTTATAAACGGCTTTCACCCATTAATAAATGATGATAAATCAAATTGCGAATATGTATACCTTGGAACAAGTTGACATCTAGAATTCGATTAGTTTTGACCTTATCAGGGCGTGTATAGCTCGAGTTAAATTAAACATTCGCGTCGTATTAACGACCCACATTATCTAACTTTTGACAGACCTATTTTTATTTGGCGCATCGTATAAAAAGAAACGCGAGCTAATGGTAAAAAGTTAGTCGTGTTGGAAGAGGCAGAGATCAACTTTACACTAGCACAGAAGTTCAAGTTGTCCAAAAAATGGGGAAGATGAGACTTGTCCACGTCATAGTTTTCGTGCTGTATTGTTCAACCCGGTCCGACGGGCAGCAGCCGGAATGTTACATTAGCGATGGGGGACCTTCCGTAAGACGTTATTTTTACATAATAATGTTAAGTTTAAGGTTGAGTTTAATTAGATTAATTAAACCGCTTTAAGTCAGAATTTTAATTTGGTTTAAATATATCACACTCTTACAAATGGGGTTACGATTATAACAAAAAGTAAATGTATGTGACTCTACCGTCGTGGTTATGAATTTGTCCCCAAGTGGTAACAATTATCACCAACTAATTATAAAGTTTCCCCGAATTGGTATTGAATTGTCACCAGAGCTAATAAATTTATGACGTTTGGTGACAAATTGATAACCACGGCGGTAGAGTCACGTGTGTACGTTTGCTATTTGGTTATACTCGTAACAGAGTGCATATGTGCAGGAAGTAATGAACTTGCTAAAAATTACGGTATATAAACAAGAGTTGTAGTATTTATGTAAATACCCTGGTACATATTTAAAAACAGTATTTAAATAATTGGTTTTGATATTTGTTATTTATTAATAATAATCTAAATACTACAAATTGAAAATTTTTGAGCCAGCTTGTTTATAACTAATTCACAACTCATTTGCAACTTATGTAAACGTTTAATAATTAATTTGTAAATTAATCTTGCACCATTTCATCCAAAATGTATCTGGGTGTACAAAAATACTTCACAATTCAATTTTGCACATGGCTATGACTAGTTACAACGAATTGAAGGGCAACTCATCCTTAACTCATTTAGAACTCATGGGCAACACTAGTTTGCAGAAATATTTATATGAATAATTTTATAGGTGGTTGACTGTCCCCCGTGGGAAGAGGGTCTGCCGACCTATTACCCGTACCCGTACGACTGCCGGAAGTTCATCGAGTGCACAAATGGAGACCCAGTCGTCCAGTGTTGTGCTCCAGGGACGGTGTGGGATCAAGATTTACTTGTCTGCAATCACGAAGGCGTGATACCCTGCGTCATCGTCACGACGACATCTGTCCCGTAAGCTGAAGATTTTTGTTTTGGTTTACGCAGCCGCATCAGTAATGTAAAATAAATCGTCGGTTTAAAGTGATTGTAACACATACTCCCTACTACAACTTCCTTTGTACTGACAAGGGAAGGTTTCCGACTGTAACGCGTGGCCTAACCAGCCACTACATATGTTTTCTAGAGTGTACGAGGACCCGAGGTGAAGGATTAATTCGTGTTTTCGTGTAAAACTTATTCGGGCGCCGTGCTATGGCGCCACATAATCCAAATTTTAAAACTTTCATTTTTAAATCCGCCATAACTTTTGAAATCCTCAAAAGGATTTTCAAAATTTTTTGACAAAATTTATGACAACTTTCGTATTGCATGAAATTTTTCTACAAAATTTGTTTTTGCAAAATTTCATAATTTTCTTAGTCGAAAAATGCTAAGGTATTAAAAAAAAATTCTGAATTTTTTTTCTTTAAAGTTTCGACCTTTGCGATTATTTTAAGTATAAAATTAAGAAAATTCTACGTAAACTGCAAAAGTTGTGGAGGTTTAAAAATTGTCGGAAATGCACATTTTTAAGCTAGACGTATGAGTTTTATACGGAAATATAAATGAATCCTTCATTTGCGGTGAGAAACAAGTGTGTACCGTGGACACGAGTACTTGGGAAACTTCCCTTGTGAGATAAGGTTTCCTGCATGGTCTAAATTAAATTGTAAATTTGAATCGATTTTAACAGAGACTCCCCTACCACGCCCACACCAACTACTTCGACCACAACTACACCAACTTCAATTACACCAACTACAACTACACCAACTACAACTACACCAACTACAACTACACCAACTACAACTACACCAACTACAACTACACCAACTACAACTACACCAACTACAACTACACCAACTACAACTACACCAACTACAATTACACCAACTACAACTCCTCCAACTACAACTCGTCCAAATACAACCACAACTCGTCCAACTACAACCACAACTCGTCCAACTACAACCACAACTCGTCCAACTACAACCACAACTCGTCCAACTACAACCACAACTCGTCCAACTACAACCACAACTCGTCCAACTACAACCACAACTCGTCCAACTACAACCACAACTCGTCCAACTACAACCACAACTCGTCCAACTACAACCACAACTCGTCCAACTACAACCACAACTCGTCCAACTACAACCACAACTCGTCCAACTACAACCACAACTCGTCCAACTACAACCACAACTCGTCCAACTACAACCACAACTCGTCCAACTACAACCACAACTCGTCCAACTACAACCACAACTCGTCCAACTACAACCACAACTCGTCCAACTACAACCACAACTCGTCCAACTACAACCACAACTCGTCCAACTACAACCACAACTCGTCCAACTACAACCACAACTCGTCCAACTACAACCACAACTCGTCCAACTACAACCACAACTCGTCCAACTACAACCACAACTCGTCCAACTACAACCACAACTCGTCCAACTACAACCACACAACGTCCCCCAATTGAGGATGGGATGACTTTTCGACTCATGAGTTATATATCTCAACGGGTAAGAACACCCACCACGATTGATGTTACATATAGGAATATTCGTGTACTAAATTGCTTATCCGCCTAATCTAATCTATCATACTAGGCAATGGAGGTATATAATGCAGACCTAACCAACTACAACAATATCCATGCTTATTCCGCCTCGTCTAACTGCTTAAGGCTGGCGCAAGTTTGGAAATTGCGCACTTCAGGTAATTATTACGAATGGCTAGCAAAGCATATATGGAATACAAATTTGTAGGGGTAGAATTGGGTGGGGGTGGGGGTGGAATTATCAATACTGCAAAAGCGCGTGTAATCAAGAAATCGCAAAAATACGGGTCAGCATATTTCCTAGCGTAAACAATTTAACATTGGCCCGGTCAAAATCGGAGGTAAAACCTGGGGTTTTCCCGAACCCGTGTCCAACACATGTAAATACAAATAAATAATTAGACGCTAGGTTCGAATTACACTTTACACTCGGCTTTGGGTGGCGCGAATCAGTGGCGACATCAGATGCACAGATGCTGGCCTGGCCATAATCGCCCCTGCATTTCAGTAAATCTAAAAAATAATGAAGATCACGTCGTCTCCTTGGCCTTCTTAACGTGCATAAAGCAAGATTTTCAAAACACCAAAAAATGTACTTCTCTGATTTTGCAGAATGGTGGTGGGTCTCCATACTGGACGTTAACTTCCGTCCCAGGAACACAGTATTATACAGTTATCAATGTCTCCTTTTACGAGTTGAATAACACAGTTAAATATACAAGGTTAAAATAAGATATCTAAACTTCTATACGCTCTAAATAAGAGTTGTGCTAAATTTACCAAAGGTTGAGTAAAAATGAGGATGAAACAACAATTGGATAAAATTTGTACCAGTTGGTACAAATTTTACTCAACGGATGAGAAAAATTTATCCAACCGTTGTGTCAACCTTTGGTAAATTTAGCACAACTCTTATTTAGAGGGTACAAACCTAACAATAAAACCTTTTCGAGCTAAATACGTCTAGATGTCGAACATCAAAAAATTAAGCAAAAAATTTGGAACCTATGCGCCCTGCTTAACACGGAGAGAAAAAACTAGAAATTTAACTTTGTCGCCAATATATTTCTTGAAAGTAGGCCATTCAACGGAAAGATCAGTGTCAGCTGATGATTCCTACGGTTTGGCTCGATTTTTTAATGTAACTCCGAAAATAATTTTACTACATTTATGTAGCTTGAGATGCGGTTCAATTGTTATTAGTGATCATTAATTAAAATACTAAAGGTTGTACTTAATTTCTTCCAGTGTTTCGAATGGTGGTGGGGGGATTGACCTGTTAATGTATCTCGGAACATATCGGACACAGCGCAGTGGTGGGAATTAAGGAGATGTTAGGGAATCAACAGATATCAATTTTAAGTAGACAAATTTGTGGATGTAACAATACCGTCTGTATTTTAATATTTAAGATTTGATTTGTTCAATAAAACAAGGTGACCGAGAATTACAGAGTGTTGCAATCAGGGCCTTTGTGTGCAGGTGATAGGTGATGAAGTACACCAGGTGCCGGGCCTGAGTTATGGAACATTTTTCACGGCATGAGATTTTTTCTATAAATATATTCCTTTATTGTAACAAAAATGGGAAATATGGGGGAGGTTTTTGCATATTATAACTGGAATCTATGTATATCACTAGTTTATACGCCTATCAGTCGACGGGCAATAATCCTCTGATTAGTTTAGCTCATAACAAGTTACCACATGGTTTGAACAAAATTGGGGTCCAAATGTAGACGAGCTGCCGACCGCGGACAACTCGAGCGATTAAATAACCTGATAAATTGCGCCTGGGGTGATGGACACGTGCTTACCACGTCGCGGCCATCGCGACGTTTATGCGGGCACGGCATGTCCAGGTCAAGCGTTTTACGACCAGATTCAGACATGGCCGCATTACAATGCTTCCCTCCCTCCCTGCGTTAATTTAAGAAATGATGCAGAGCGATAGAATAATTTCAGTGCTATATTTTTGAAATAAAATACAACTGTGACCTGAAATAAGTCCATTTTAGTGAACTGTTTCTAGGTTCGAGATTTCAGATAGTGCATATCTAAACTCCGTTTCACTCTACATGGTATTACGGCCACACGAAAATAACATGGGATTCTCATATTCCTTGCCTGTAGCGGTAACACCATGTAAGGTGCAACGGAGTTTAATTTGTGCATATCTTACCTAAACAATTTTGTAAATTTGAAGACACATAATTGGTCAAGGTACCAGCCATGGCTTGTTCAGAATCCGGACTAACGGGTTTCCTGCAGGAATATCTTCCCAGATTTCTACAGAGAAAGGGTCAAATTTATTGTGCCCAAGAAAATAATATTTTGCTATAATGGTACGCTACAGCGTTCGGAAAAACCAACCCTGAGGGTTTTTCCGGGGTTTTTGTGAGTCTTTGTGGATTTTGGGGCGGATTGAAGCAAAATTCCTAAAATTATATTTTAGAGTAAAGCTAGTTCAATAATCGAATTCAACATGCAATTTTAAGTATTCTCATCGATTTGGGTTTTTACGTCAAAAGTCAAACAGGAAGCCAGAAATATTGGAAATTCAAGTTACACATAAAAATGCTCAAAATCTCAAATCTTCATCTGAAAGTTTAATTAGTATTAATTTAAATTGTAGTCACAAGAGTTATGTTTCAATTTCAATCTGCCCCAAATTTATACAAAAACCCAATTAAGCATTAGGGCTTTTCTGGGGATTTGATACACCAAAAACCCACAAAAGCCCAGGGTAGCGATCCCTAGGTTCGAAGGACTGGCCCCTGGCTACCCATCATCCAATAATGGCCTGGAGTATATTATGGTGCAAACATTACAAGAAGAGTACAATTTTTGAGTATTTACTTGTCAACCTTCATCCCTCCTCAGTGACCTTCGGGTTTAGGTGATCGGAAAATTACGACCAATTTCTCACCTTATAGGTTAGGCTCAATTAATCACGAAACTTATGTCAAGATATAGCCCAGTGTGGTCACTGAGGAGTGATGATGGTTGACAAGGACTCAAAAATTGTACTCTGCTTTTATTGTTCGTACTATAACGCCTTGATAAAAAATATTCACTTGATATTTAATTTCCATTATCTACGATATATATTGCATATCTTGTATTTTATGCATTGAGATTATTATTTGTTTGGAATTTATTATTAAAATCTTGGAATAAAAAAATAATTAATTGCAAGATCTATAATTGAAGCAAAATATTAATTTTCTTTGAAAAAAACGTATTTTTCTTGGGAGGTTTAATTAGGACCCTACAGAGAAATGGTAGGCAGAGTGATACATATATATGTTCAGCTAACTGTATACATATGCAGGACTATGCTTTCACATCATTCTTTTTTGCATATGTATGTATATATGTAAATATATACATACAGTGTATCAATGTATGCATGGATTTGCATACATGGATATACGGTTATGCAAGAAAACCTAGACATTTTGTGCAGGCTTGTGTAAAAAAAGCATGCAGAATACAATACGTATTTAGGTATGTGTCAAGATTTTTCGGATTATTGCATAATTCGATACAGAGATTTCTGTTCTGTCTTGTACATACATAAATTCATTGTGCATTGCATTCACATTCTTTGTAGAAGATCCTACATATGTTTCATGAAATTGACTTGGTTCACTTTTTTCATACAATACATATTCCCCATTTCTCCTTGAGAAGAGAAATCCAGCCCTAAACTCATGCACGCCTTGTATAGCAGTAGCTATGGAAAAGTACCCTCGATCGGGCAGACAAAGGAACGGGGGAAACATTACGCACTACTGCAAGAAATGTATACAACATGAATGGGTAGGTACTCGGGAATATACGCTTTTTCCGATAACTCGTGTTTACTCTGTAGAAAAAGGGGAAAGTTCCCGAGAAGTCAGGCACATATGTATTTATTTATTTTGCAGTATTTTAGAAAACATTGGATTCGGAGTTGAATACTAGTAAAAAAAAGTAGAGCAGGATAGAGCTACCTTTTTCATATTTGCACATTTCATCTGTTTTTCACATTTACTTTCTTGCGTGCTAAGTGTGTTTACATAATCCAGGAAATTAAAACAACTAAAAACCCGAATTCGGGTTAAATCTGAGCTGAATTTAGCATATTTCCGAATGCTCTCCTCATTCACATAACAAAAATTGCATAATTTGAGAAAACTAATGTGATTAAAATGAACACATTCTCATCATTCGAGGACAGTTTATTTTCTTCGTACTGTATCGACCCTCCGCCAGACCCGCGACCAAACTGGGATTGGACGGCGGGTCATGGCGAGAGATTCGTTAACCTCCTACGGACCGGATTTCGACATGATTTAACCCTTCATGTTCGCCCGGAAGGAGTAAAGGTACCTTTTCTAATTTTTATACTTTCTATTACGTAGCGTGAGCTGCTTTATGCTATAAAGTTGTCCGTCTGTGCGTCACCTTCCGTCTGTTATGAAATTATGTAAGAGGAGACGGGGGAGAGAGGTCAAAGGTTCCAATGATGTCCTATGTAACACATGCTAAAGTGGGAGAGGGTCTAGAAAATCAGGGTTTTTTCCTTACGTAATTTATGGACATTCCTTTATTCGATAGTTTAAATGTTTAATTTTTTTGCAGATTCCCGTCCATCGAATCTTCCTACAGGGTGCCTCGTCGGTTCTGGACGAGAAGATAAATCCTGCCATGAACGAATTAATTGTGGACAATGTGAACAGCCATATTTTGAAGATGCTCGTTAAGGTAAATCTATTTAATATATGTATTTTATCTCAATTATATGCTAAAAATTCTAAAATTTGTATATTTGTTGTCTACTTCAAGTATTTGTATACTGGGAGGTCGGACGTTGTGGAGGTGGCCGACGTGCCGAAATTAATCTTGGCTGCGGCACAATTTAAAATCCATGGTTTATGGGAGGAATGCGCTATCCTGCTGAAGGAAGAGCGTGGTTTGGAACACGTGTTGTCATTATTTCAAAGTGGGATGGAACATGCTTACGGGGATGTTATCCAGTCAACCCTGAAACTAATTTGCATGTAGGCAGTGTATACACTATTAAAAATAATGTTGCCCTTTTGAAAAGTGTGTGTGCAAATGCATTCTTGAATTGTACACTCTAAAAAACTCGGCGCTATAAATCGTCATTAAATGATGAGCATATGTGACTTCAAATTTTTCGAATTGATGATAACTTTTGCTCGTTTGGTGACAAATTGTCACTTGCTGGTATTAATTTTAACAATGTTATGTGAAAAATGTTGTTACATCGAGATGAAATCGTATGTGCACGCCATTCGGTGACGATTAACACCGATTTTTTTAAGAGTGTATGTATCCGAAGTAAAGTATTCTAAATACATGGTACGTTAGCTAGACAAACAGTAACGGTTACGTTAGATGTTGCATAATTTAGTGGATTTAGAATTAAGACTGAAACTTCTTTGCAAAAGGGTAAAATTATTTTTAAGATTGTCCAGATTGTAAGATTTTAAGATTTTCACCGAAATTTAGATAGCATGCATTTTTGAAATACTATTTATTTATGGCCCCTTTTTTATGGACAGAAATGCGAGACAAGTTTTGAAATCTGAGGAATTTCTGAATCTCCGATTTGACTGCTTGATTGAAATTATACAGCAGGATTCACTCAAAGTAGCAAACGAGGTGGAAATCTTTGAGGCTGTCTATCGGTAAGAATTGGAAGTAGAATCTTATTTTTTCACATGTTTGCCTAATAATCGAAGTCTCTGAACGCATGTTCTCCGAATTTTATCAAACTAGTGTCAATCATTCATGAATTTTATTATTACGAAAAGTGCAAAAGATACCACCTCCCAACGACTAGGATAAATACTTGCATCCGAAGACGCAGTAAGGTTGGCAAATTTTACGTTTTTGCAAATTTTACGTTACGAATTTTATTGCTGATAAAATTATAGGACCAAAGTGCCCATTGGGAGATCGTGTCTTTTGCAAATGTTATGCTACTTAAATTAATGATCGATTGACACTAATTTTATGGGACTCGGAGAGCATAAGCTAGGAAACCTCCCCTATAAATGACACGATAGTGTGCAATTCTCACCCAATAATTCTCACCTAACAATTCTCACCCGGCAATTCTCACCCAACAATTCAAATCTACTTACCCCACAATTGTCACTCGACAATCCCTACCCCACATTCCTCACTCAACAATTCGCACCCAACAATAATAACTTGACAATTCTCGCTCGACAAATCTCACCCAACAATCCTTATCGTTCTATTCTTACCCAAACATTCTCTCTCGGCAATTCACACATAACAATTCCTACCCAAAATTTCTCATTCATTAAGTCGAAATATTTTAACTCTGTAGCTGGGGCTTGGCTGAATGTGCGCGTCGCTCTCTGGATCCCAGTAACCCTGAAAATCTCAGATTTTGTCTCGCCAAACCGTTGAATTATATCAGATTCCCGCTAATGGATCCCGAAGAGTACACTCTAGTCGTGTCAACCAAAAAACTACTCAGCCTTGAGGACTCTGTCGAACTGCTGACCACTTTTCTGCTTCCGCCGGAACGGAGGTAATTTCAAAGTCGAACATTACCGCGTTTTTTCACCTATTAACATAGTTACTTGTCCGTAGAAAGCTGCTCCCAGCGGGAAAATTTATTTCAAATCCGCGCCTCTACATAAGCCTCGGAGGTACTGGAATCGTTATCGGTCGGCACTTTACTGGCGGTTCCAGACAAGTAAACAGTATCCTTGTCGCATCTGGAAATCCAAATGGGAGCGAAACCATCACGTAAGTTACAGACAATCTTCAGTTTTGATGCCCAGTCATCAAAATCAGCACGTTTTTATCATTTCTCTAGTCTGGGAGCTTACATATTTTAAAATCCTGGGCGACAAAATTTGTAAATTTATAGTTAGTGAATTGTCTAATTGAATAGAGGTTAGTTTCTTTTACGTCAGTGCTAAAGTTTTATAGGATTATCAAAATTTTCTCCCGCTCCATAAAACTTTCAAAATCTGGACTGTGTTTTCTAAAAATTGCAAACAGCCTGCGCTATAATATATTTTTCCAGAATTTTAAAGTAAATTCCCTTTAGTGAGAAATTATTAGTAAAAATGTTCTGATTCTGGCGATGAGTGTAACCTTAAATCACCCGCAAATTTTTAGAAATTGTTGTTTAGAGATTTTTATATTCAACTATCCGTTCTTATCAAACCTTGCAAAATTAAGTCGACGCATTCTTTAGTCCTGAAGTCGATTTCCGTTCCGAAGAAACTTTTCCAAATTCACGGGCCAGCCTACGTCTACAGCTACCATTCCGTAAAAGCCGCCATCGTCGCCTCTGGTCGCAGCGTGGCTCCCAACCGGATCATTAATGATGACAAAGATCCCGACTTTTTGCGAATTTCGGTCGATCCTCCGTTCGAACTTGGCGCCGATGTGATCCTTACCCTCTCATTTACCGGTAATTTAGGCTACCATCAAACGACTGGAAATTCCTATAATTGGACGAATATTAAACCGGGAGATCTCTTCCCTTCCGACGGGTACAACAGGGTGGTCACGAACTACGGGAATTTCGTCAGCATGTCCGAATTCGGTGTGGAGATTCGCATCGAACGCGGTCTTTGGGATGGGCTTCCGGTAAATTGTGGATTAATGGAAAGGCTGGAATTTGACGTGGCCTGATTTCCTAGTTGTTAAAATATCTTGATCTAATGAACGTATGTATTCACGGAAATATTCGTAGATGGAGCACAGTATAATAGTACTTTGGGAAATTTGGCAAAATTTTCGTAAAATATTCGCTGGTAAGGGATATGATTATTTCTCAACTTTGCCTAGCAAATGGGCCTGTTGTTAACTCGCAAGATTACTTCGTAAATTCGCTATTTGAATGCTGTATTTGTAAATATTGCGACATGGAAACAAAATGAAAATCGGAACTGTATAGGAACCCACTCGTGAGATTTGCGAAATAATATTTAGCTAATTTCTATCTCTCTCTCGTCACGAAACAGATTTTATATTAGCACAGTGAAGACAGAAGCATTATTTTCAATTTATTCAATGTTATTCGTAATTTTTGCAATTTGTAACGCAGGTAATTTACTATAAAGGAGTACAAACGTTTTTTAGTTTCGTTTATTGATCGAGAATTTTTTAGTGTCAATAATAATTAATAAATACGTAAATACAAATTAATTATTATTTTACAATAAAATATGATAAATATCCGAAAACTTCCTAATACCAATATGCGTAATATGGTGTAGATTTGTTAGAAAACTATGCTTATAGTGTAAATACTTATTTACCTGTTACTGAGAGGCGTGAAAACATGAAATAAAACTTTTTACGTTACATTATGTTTTCGAGTCTACTCGAAACGATTCGATTCGCCACCTACATGCTTATCTACAGATAAGCATGTAGGTGGCGAATGGTACCTTCGACTAGAAATGATAATTGAGACGATAGGAACAATTCATTTGGGTTGCTTAGGAGTAAAGAAAATTTGGCTCATTTTGGTGACTTCATGACCTCGATAATAGTGGTCGTAGTCCGAACTTTGAAGATTTGGTAGTTCGTATTTCCTATATATCTTTCGTATATATCTGCCCTTTATAATACTTTGGGAAAATCTGTTAAACATTGGAAAATTGCTTTGAATTTTAAGTTTACAATGATATTAGTTACATATATATGTAAGTACATTCCAGCTAACTATTTATCAAAATTATGATGAAAAACGTCTTTGTTCATGTTCACATCATAAAATTATGCTGACTTTCAGTGGTTATTGCTTCTTAGACAGCCCATGGTTTTAAGCGGAATGTTAATGTTAAGCTGTTCAACTTGAATTAAGTACGTCGGCTTTTACAAGAATGTATATCAAATTTTAGCGAAAAATCGGTCGTGTAGATTTCACCCACGACCAAGCAAGTTTGAAATAATCCCCCCTGATTATATCTGAAAAGATGGAAAATCTAAGTTCAATCCAAAAAATAACAGAACTTATCATTAAGAAAAATAACCAGTACAAAAATAGAATTCCAAAATTGGAGAACAATCTGAGTTTAATCTGTCCTTCCACGTATTTTCCGCCATTCAGTAATTTTTCCATCCTGACTCTATCTTTGGCCAATTTTCTTCCAAAATTAGTAAAAAATCTGTCTCGGAACATATTGAAAATACCATCTTGACCACTCCATGGTGCAAAGTTGCGCAAAAACCGGGACGCGGTCATACTACCGAAAGAATTTAATGAATAAATCAGAGGGCCAACTGGTCGCTTGATGAGGAAACAGATAACCTGATCACCCTGAGAAAATACTTTACCCTTCCTAACTTTATACGCTAAAGCATCGTATATGTACGTTAGCCCTTTAATCGATGCGAGTTTATCGCGCCAGGTGAGATTGAACGGCTGAGCAACTTGATCTATTTCACGGTCAATAATTACATCCCGGTCAGAAATATTTCTTCCAATTTGTTCACCGATATCTGTCCCTACGTGAGCCTTTAGCAAAACAAGCACCTGCGGACTAGATACCACGATTTTAAACCCGTTGCCATATGCTTCTTTAATATTTTGAAAAACATGAAGCTGCAGCGGGGCGGTTATAGTAGTGGTCATGAAGGCTTCGTAGTGATAGCTTAGAAACGAGGTAAGTGCGAGACTAACGAATAATGCGGGATTCTTCCAGTTCTTAAAGTTAGGGAGAGCAATATAAATGAAAAATTTTATGGCATCAAACATCATAGAGACGCGTCGGCCAATTAGGCCGAAGAATATGGAAAAGGAGAGGAGAACAAGCCAGATGGTGGTTTCGAAAGGTGATATAATCCACGACCAGGATGGGCGGTCATAGTGGGCTTTAGTGATGCAGTAAATTAAATTAAATTCTCGCTGAACGAATGAGGAGACCATGGGTTGAACGTAGTCCGAGAGATTGTCCGGCAGTGTGCTTGGAACCCCTTGTTCGCACATGTAAAGTGGTGCCCATTTGACTTTAGACTTTCCATCAAGCAGTGGGCAGGAACTCCGAGCTAAAAAACATTTATATGCACAATAATATTGACTCATAAAAATCCGCTAAACGTACGTACAAAGGTTGAGAATCTTATCCAAATCAAACTTTTGTTGTATCTGACCAGATTCCGGTTTTCATTACTGTTACGAGTAAATGAAAGTCCGAAATAAAGATTGAAATTCTAAAAATACTGAGTAATCGAACAGCATACGTACGGGTGAGTAGGTACCTGCAAGCTGCTTTTATTCGATTTACTCATCTAATTTTAGATATGCAAATCCCCCCAAAAAAACGAAGGACCGCGACACCCTAATAATTTTACGATGCAAAATAACTGGGTTTGTATTATTTTTACCTTCCATGGATGCATTTAGCCGTTCCTTCACAATCTCGTTGACAGGGTAGGCAACTTGGCAGCTTAACTCAGAATCGAAATACTTTTGACAGTTTGCCAATCTGGGATTTTTACTGATCTGCCTTTCCGTGGCGAAGTGATCCCTAATCTGATGGAAACCAATTGCACCGCCGTATCCGTTCGATGATAATTTCGAATGGAGTTTTACAATTTGACGGGGATTTTGGATCATACTTAACTCTAAAAGTTTGACTAAACGATCCCCCACTGGGCAAAGGTAGCAGAGCTGACGTACGAAAGCGATCATATCGACATCTTCGTACAGGTGTTTCGTATAGGAATAAGAATTTAAAGTTATGAAAGTCAGGGGACATGTGAATCCGAGCCGAGAAAAGGGGGAATTTTGATGCTCAACTTCGTCTGAAACAGTGCACTTTAGGGGAGCAATATTGTAAAAGAGAACGTTGTAATTGGGCCCAATTCTGTACCCAGATTTCGCGATTATGTAAGATAAGTCGCGAATATTGTGAGCAAAGGTGATAAATATTTTAATTTTCTGCGACGAATAACGTTTTGCTGGAACGAAGTAATAAGCTTCTTTCTGAACTCGGGCAATATCATGGTTTCCCTTAGATTTTGCGAACGAAATCGTGATCGGAAATATATCGGAGGGTAAGTTGGAATTTAACGGGAAACTTGAAATGCTGTTGCGGTGTATAAGTCGAAAATTAATTTGGTACGAGGTTGATATTTTTGAAATCATGGAGTCAAGCGATAGTGAATTGACTGGGTGTAAATTTAGTAAATGGACGACGGTTAAGAAATAGGTTTTATATTCAGAAATGTGCATTTTTTAGGAAACCTGGATAACTTAGGTGAAGGCAATGTCTGTCATATATGTACGTACTAAATATATTTATCATTGCATGATTTTCGTGACATTGGATAAAGTTTATTTTTCAAGTGACCCATTTTAACAATTATGTACCTACGATGGACTTCCCGAGTAGCAAACTAGAAACAGGAACACCACATGAATTCAGGGTATGCAAACCTGGGTGTTTGGGGTAGGATAATCGCACGGGTAGTTAACAAGGTTTTGTAATTACAATGTTAATATTCCCATATGTCGATACAGGACCACTGGTGACCTGGATTTGGACTAATTATCATAGGAAGTCAGCTTCCTAAGGACGGATTAGGAATACATAAATCAGTTGCAAAACCGTGACAAAAGTTGGGTAGTTGGGAATTAATTTCGCCAGAAGTTTCTAAGTGTCTTATAAATGTCAAGATATCAAGGTTTTCGTGTTTCGTTATGGATTGCTAAATAAATATGTACATGCGAGTCAAGGTGCGATCGTGCGTAGTGTAACACTCCGATTTGGTAGATCTTCTAGAAATATGTAGTACAACCAACGTAATACGAAGTTAGAATCAGTCAAAGTATTTGATTTCGGAAATGAACTCTTACCAAAATCGTTGATTTTTTTTACTTGAACTTTATAATTAAAAAATTTCAACGCAATCCGAGTGATACACATGACACCACCCTGTTGTCAATTTATACTGTGTCGCGTTTTGGTGGTCACGACCGCATTATAATCCTAATACTGAGTACTGGATTACTATTAATACCATGACTTTAGTCACGAAGATACATAGTAAAATGTATGTACATAAACATCGCAATTATTATAATTACAGACAGAGTGGTTAAATATATCTTGATGTTTGTCCCATGGCCACGAAAGCTCGCAAAAAAACATCGTTTTCTTACGACATAGTATAAACTATGGTACGACTGGCGTTTAAAATTCTTAAGCAGAATATTTAGAAACTGGGAGGTGAACAAAGTCTAAAAATGGGCCAATACTATTGCGACTAATGAAAAGGACATAATATGTATGCGCAAGTTTTAACAGAATTATGTAACCAGCTATGTAGGTGCCTGTCTAAATTAGTTGTACAAATCTCTTGAAATTAATTTACATAAATCCCTCTCGTGAGGTCAATTTAGTAAGACTTTTATAATTTCAAACCTTTGTACATAAATACATATGTATGACGTCTTATCAAGTATCCCCAGAAACAAAGTGTCAGAACGTTTTCCACTCTCCAGAACAATGGAGAGACATATACATATATCTGGCAGAAGAAACTACGTGTGTCAAAATGCATATTTTTAGAATAGTTCAACAGATTTTCAGGGATTTTTTTAACATTAATAGATAAAATAACTAGTAATTTTAATTTTAATAACCATAAATTTATTTTCGAAAAAAATCCTAGGTGTGATAAAGCATCATTTCATCTGTCCACTCCACGTGCTTACCGGTGCATTTATGATAACCATAGTTGCCGAAGTCATCGAATATTGGGAGGTTAAGCTTTCGATATGATATTGTGGAATATAAGTACTTAATTAAAATATTTCAAAAATTGGGGTCGGAAGCTATAGTTGCATGTTTTTATTTTACTTGAAATAAGTGGAAAACAATTCCAACCAAGTGTGAAAAATCTCGCGAAGCGTTTCACAATTTGTTTTTTAAGATGTTTGATTATACAAGCATTTTTCTGATCGCTTTTACATAGTTAAATAGTGACTTCGGTTGACGTTACGAATAGCTTAACACTGGAACAATCAGCAAAAATGTTTTATTGAAATCTGTACACTAGTCGCTTTAATTATAATATAATCATCTATATTATAATTTCTAAAAGTCCGTCCCGTGAAATTTTCCGTGACATTCCTGCATTCTGATTGGTTGCCGCTTGCTGGCACCACAAATCACAGCACGGCTATCATTATGCTTACAATTTGAGCTACAACATATGGTACAACATCTGGTACAACACCTGGTACAGCAATTGGTACAACATTTGGTACAACATCTGGTACAACATCTGTTACAACAATTGATACAACATTTGCTACA